GCAGGAGATAAGTATTCTGTAAGTTTTTCTCATTTTATTTATTTTTTTGTTTTTTCTCATTCGTTTTCTAACATTCACAGATCTGAATAGTGAAGCATTTATTGTATGATTAAAATTCAGATGTTGATTGTCTTTAAATCTAGCATGTAATGAATTAGGATGTTTTAAGCAATGTGTCTATGCTGAAATGTCACTTGTTTCAATATGATTTATGAACTCAACACATGGTGGATTTGATGATTTTTTTTTTTTTTTGTTTTATAAACATGTTATTGCTGAAATTTCTGGATCTTGGGTTGCTTTTGTTTTTCACATGATGGATTTGGTGATTTTTCATAAGCATTGGTGAAAATTTGGGTCTTGGGTTATTTTTCTTCTTAATGTGTGAGTTTGATGGTTGTATAGAGGCATGTCATTAATGAAACTTGTGGGGCTTGGGTTGTTTTTGTTCTTAACAGACTTGTTGGTTTTTAGAAGCATGTCATTGTTGAAGTTTTAGGGTCTTAGGTTATTTCCTTTCTTAAAATGAGGGTTTGATGTTTTTAGAATCATATTCATTGTTGAAATTTTTGGGTTTTGGGTTCTTTTTGTTTCAAACATGTGAAAAAGGTTGGTTTTAAAAGTTTTATCATTGCTGTTTTTTTTTTGGGTTTTGCGGTTTTTTTTTGGCCCCAACATGTGAAGAATGTTGTTTTTAAAAGCCTTTTCCCCTATTTTGAAATTGGAGGTGCTATGTTGTTTTTGTGCTTATTGTGTGATGGGCATGCTGATCTAGGGATTTGTTTTCAATGCTGAACTGATGTGTTTCATGATGAGTTAGAACCCACACATAATAAGCATGATGGTTCCATGTTCTCAGGCAAATGTTGAAAGGTTAATGTTCATGATGACAGGGGATGAAAATCATGTAAGAAGTTCACCTTTGATGAAATGTGAATTCACATATGCTCTTTTGGAATGAATGCTTCAGGAAATAAATTTTTGGGATGGGGTTTTTGTTAGACAACGTATGCCCTTAGCTCCAATCAAAATGATGTACATTATGACATTTATTGTAAATGAATAAAGTACATATTTGATTCATGTTATTATGGTGTGTTTCTGTGTAATACCCTTAAACTGGACACATATGAGACTCGTGTTAGTTTAGAATGTTCATAGTCATTGGATAAGTTTGGGGAGATTTATCCTGCCAAGGTTGACACTGATGTACCGCCAAGTTGGTTGGGGTATCCTGTCTCAGTTGCCAGGGTGAGGCCCGAGGTACATGCAGTGTAGGCTTACTTGAAACCCTGAACCGGACCAGATTTCCAGTATTGCCCTGCACCTTGGAGATTGATGGGAAAAACTGGAAAGTTACACCTGACCCCTAGACTCGATTATGATACTACACTACGTGTCGGATTGGGCTGTCTTTGATATGCCAATCAGTGAGATCCTTAGAAGGGGTCAAAACTTGGGTATGTTGGGACAGTCTGAGAATTCATCTGATGAGTGATCATAGTGATAGGATCAGCCCCTTTGTCGGGCAAAGGTAATGATTGAGGATGCACTCTCTCTGATGGAAACCAAAGTTGCCAGTAGCCGATTTCAA